TTATATTTATATTTATATTATATAACATAAATATATTAGGTCTAGGAATCATATTATTATATATTATTATTATAACCATTTCCGCGCAGCTGATTTTGATAATGTACCTTCACCACACACAGCACAAATTTTTTCATAAGCCTGCGCAGCGTTCTTCCCTTTGTCGTAATAATGTTGTAAAACATAGCAAAATTTCTACTACTTCTTCATAGTAAAACTACTTCTCTCCATTTTCAAACGCCAACAACTTTCCAAGTACTGCACCACCACGATGTTTATACGCCCAAAATAACGTTCAGTGCGTCACCTTTAAATGAAGTGTTTAGTGGTATCGTTGCAATAAGTTGTTCGTGAGTTATTAACAATTGACGACATCTATCGGGAAAACGCCACGAACTTTTTGCCAGACCCAATATATATATATATATATCTATTATAAAGACTCTGCACGATGCGATACAAAATTTAGTAACACAATATAACAACGGAAATTCCACGATCTCGCCGCTCCAATTAAATTCTCCAAAAATAAAAAGCAATCCCATCTGCAACTCGCAGCCAGTACACTCGGCCCCGTAAAACGGCATTTATTCTCGAAAATGCACGCCATACCTTCGCACGATTCTCCGAAAAACTCCACGTGGTATGGAAAAACAGTTTGCAAATAGAATCTGAGAGAACCGTTCGAATAGAGCTTCAAATTCGTTGAGCAGGTTTGCGCGAGCATTGTGAACTGAAAAGGGAGGGAACGAAAAAAAGAAAAGCATTCGAGTTGGAATAGGTTGCGGTGGATCTTTGGGAATAGTTGAAAACGCGGCTTAGCTAGTTCGCGTGGTCCGTAGCGATGGTGGAGGAGGGGAGGGGGGCGAACGGTACAGCAGTGGAAGTTCTCCCGCGGAAGGCCGCTAGAACGTAATATTCTCTCCGCTCGGGATTTATGCGGCAACGGTGGTGGGAGAAATTGCGGGGCGGACGGAGTGGAAGGGATGGTTGGTTGGTGGTGCACTCGACTACACCGACAGGGTTGCTCGTAGATTATAAACGGTCGTTTTGTTGCGTTGTTAGCAGATGTCTGACGCGAGTACGGCCCGCGGTGGGAGACAGAGGGTGTCTTGCGGGGAACGGCGGGGGCAGGCGACGCCGGGACGGTCGCTAATTAAGTTTTTCACGCAGAAATTCGCGGGGTTGGCTGGCTGGCTGGCTGGCTGGCCGGCTCGCTGGATAGCCGGATAACCGGGCCGGGATTCCAGTGGCGCGGCTCGATGAAAAATCGACGAAAACCGCCCCGCTTGTTTCCGCGCGGAAACTGTATCAGCAGGTAAAACGCGCGCGCTACCCCGATGTTAACTGCAGATAATTAAAATCGGGTTCTTATGGAGATGCACCGTTACCATGGGGATAAAGGACCCTCCGTTGCTGAGCCGTAGATTGCCGGGATAAATGCGTCCCGAAACATTCTTCTCGTGGATTTACGGAGAAAATTGGGGCGTCGAATTTTGAATTGTGAATTCCCTCCAGTTGCGCTGCTTTGTACAGTTCACACGTAAGAGGATTTTGTATTTTTGAAAAGCTAGCTCGAGGTTAATTTAACAAATTTGTTTGAAATTATAAGATAAGAAACGTATAATTGAAGGCAAGTGAACGATGAGAAAGGAACAAACAATTGAAACCGCAAACACTGAGTTTTAGAGATACCGCAAATGTTTTTAATTCAATTTTAGTTTGTTTATTTCTGGCGTAAAGGGTTGTTGATGTCATGTGGAAACCACGCGAACTAAATCTACACGGTGTTAACGATACAAACTTTATGGAATTGTTGAAACCTCACAGTTTTATGCATTGCGTTACTATAGTCCGGATGTCCCTAAAGTAATGGAGATGAAACGGTGGCTTGTTTGCTTCTTAAGCTTCAATTTTTTAATTCCCCTGTCTCGAGTTTGCCACAGAATCTCTTAAATAAATTTTTAGCTATGCTATGTATTTCATTAAAATTATCTGATAATGTGAATCCTGTACTTTCGATAATTTAGACATTCGTGAATCTTGTTACTACGCTGTGAAAATGTGTAAATTAGCAGAGGAAAGTAAAGGTTAACAATTTGTATCTTCGAAGGATTTTCTAAAGTAATTTTAACTGTAATTATACGAATTTAAATTTGAACACATTGTACAATATTATAAAATATTGAAAGCCTGTCATATTCTTAAAATTCTGTATTTCTGTACATTCAATGAGAGAACAGGGGTTTAAATAAATTTAAATTTATTATTACGTCACTTGCTAATTATTTGCAATTGAACGATTCTATACGAAAATTTATTACCAACAAACTTTCTTAACAAGCAATTTTGTTCGCGCCAAAAAATAATAAACATTCTTTCCCGACTCCCTGTTTCCGGTTCCCAGTTTTCTCCACTTTCAACAACCGCGCTTAAACATTGCATCAACAGTTTCATGAAATAATGTATAATTCCACAATTTTCCCGAAGTGAAAGTTTGAAGTGCTCACAACGATCATTTTTACATCCATTTTTCGCAGCTCGAAATGCACAAACATAATTTTAAAAGCTGGCCCGCAGTTCTAATAATCGGCTTCCACTTCCGCGAAAGTACGAATAATTGATAATTTCCTGCATTTTGCAACAATTCCAAAAATCGAGTATTCCGCATTCAATAATTCCGTTTGTTCTTCATCCATTAGCGCGCAGAATTATTCGTTGATAATTCCATTGTTGTTCGGCCGCTCGTGGCGCCCATAGTTTATGAGATAAATTCGTCGGGAATTTGTGGAATACGAAAAATGTTGCGGTGCGGAAGGCTTCCAAAAATTATGCTCGCGAGCGCCGCATGCGTTAAACTGACGTTAAATAAGTAACGAGGCCAATTACCGCGCGGAGGCCAAACTTTTCACCGGCGTACGTTCGCCCCGGATGCGTCTGCATTTACAACAAATCTCAGCGCGAAGATAACAGGTGCAGTTTACCCCTTCACGCTTTAAACTGTTTCTATTGTACCGTAACCTTTTTGTGCCATGTTGAAGAGACGAATCGGTCAGGAGATAGGAAAAGACGCGATCTTTGGGAATTTTTTTCTCGAGAACTATAACAGTTCGAGGAACAACTATTTTTGTATTCCGAATGGCTTGTTGCAGGAAATGTCTCGTAATTATTTTATACAGAAATATCAATCATTTGCAAAGTTATGGCTGTATATTTGCACCCGGCTGTATAATATGGCTGTATAATAAATTTCAATTGTTGCTGAGTATTGGTTCATCGAAAATTAAAAATTTGATTCGAGATAAAATGGCAGACGTTTTGCATCACTTCTTTTTTTAAATTTCTATCTCTTCCTTTTCGAATTACTGAGATTGTAAAAAGACATTTATAGGAAATTAATTGAACACACACACATTTATCCAGGTACGTGTTGAGATAAGAATCGTGCAAGATTTTACTATATACATCGTTTTCAATGCTTTTTGTACACATTACATACTCGTTTTTACAATTTTACTTACCCCTTGCGATTATCTACGTTGCCGGTATTATTTCTAAGTCGTGGGACGTTTATGTAAATAAATGTTTATTTAGAAAAATGAACACCAAAATCGACTTGACAATCTGTACAAATTATTACGCATAGCACCAGGGTACAAATAAACTGTAAACTACCCACGAATCCATACTGCCGTGTGCCGCGAACAATCTTGCATGCTACAAAATGCATAAGATTTCGATCGATTAGTCGAGTTTTACGAATCCGATCGTGTATCATACATTTCGGGAAGCATTTTCTTGCCGGATGAAATTACGAGTTCCATTTCATTGGAAGCAGTATGCATCGCGTGAATCCAGTTCTCGAATTGTGAAAGCTTTCGCGCGCCCTTCATCATGGAACAGTGACGGAATGCTGAAGGAGCTACGATGAATTGCTTAGAATTAGCTATAATCTTTATCGAGACGGGTCTATGTAGTCTACGATGGATATCAATTCATCAAGGTAACGAGGTGAGAGATATATCTTGCTCTACGCTGTGCTTCGCCGTTGCTAATTATAAGATTAGAACGAATACAACGAGCCGATTAATCTCTCGGCAAAACTTCGCAGCGCATTTTATCCACCTAATTTCCTCCTTCAGCCATTGTAATCCAATGAAAATCGGTCTTACCGTTTACTAAACGAACAGATACATCGATAATAGTTATCACAATAATTACACCATATAGAGGAAAACATCTACCAACATATATGTATACTAATTACACGCTCGTATACTTACATTATGCAAATTAAAGGGAATACAGAGCGTTGGAAAAAAAACAGCTAGAAAATAAATGTAAATATCAATTTATAAATCACCATTTTCTTTTCTGCACAGTATCTACGTAACGAAAATGATGGCATTTACTTAATTTTGTAAAATTATTTCGGCAAAGATGAAAGATAAGTTTACTGTGAGATGAAATTTGTGAAATTGCAAATCAATTTCGGTACTGCCATGAACTGATCCTTCCGTTCGTCGTCAGGAATGAGAACAGCGACTTCTATCTCGTTTCCCAGAATTATTCTGATGCAAGAAGTATTCATCGATTCAAGAAGGAACTGCGAAAATTCGCGACTTGGGAAACTGTATGCAAATATGTAGATCGAAGTGAATTATTTGGAAATTCTTGATGATTCCGATTGCTATCTACAACGGGGGAACAACGGCTTCTACCTCGTATCGTAGATCGATTCCAGCCAAGACGCGATAGGGCAATTGTAATAGCGTCACTAGACCTTATTCTACTAAATAATGGAGCATAATGCGGAGATCGATAAGGATTTCGCCAAGCGACAGTTGGTTCCAGGGTGCACATATGGGAAGACATCGGGTTAGGGGAGAATGCATTGGCGAGAGACTACGATCTACCGGTCGATAATTAGGTGTATAGAGGTCTACCTGTACCGGTCACATTACCGTGGACCCTTCAACTTAGTAATTAGCGTGACTCACAGTATTCCCAGTAATCACCAGCACCCGCCGTAGGCAGCACCGTGCTCCATGCTTCTATGCGTGGACAGAAAGAACGAATAAAAGAAAGTAAACAACTGAACCATGCTTGAACGTGTGTTCACGAAGCAAATTAATTGAAAAGCCCCGTCCAATCGACGGACAGTATCGCGACGGGAACGATCGCGCGAGAAAATTCAAACGATAAGACAAGATACATGATACTACGGAAACGCTTTAAAGTTGTCCCGCAGAACTTTACTGTGCCTGAAAGTAATCCATTTGTCGGATTGCTCGGAAAATTGTTAGTTGGATTCTCAGCCACGCTCCAGGAAGATTATTTCTAATTCTTCGCGAAATTTGCGTGGATTTTCATGGGAAATAGAAATTCTGCGAGTTGGCGGTCTTTTTTTTTCTTCGAACAATTTTAACAAGTCGAGAGCAATGTAACAATGTCCATTAATAATTTCAATGTGTTCACAGTTGCGTATTTGACATTTTGCTCGTAAGTGCGTTATTGATTGTTAATCCGGACATAAACAGATTGGCAATGATGCGGCAGAATCGTAGGGAACAGATATTTGCATGATTGATCGAGAGCGGCAATTACACTTTTCCAGCAAACCGACAAATGAACAGAGAAGTGTATTGTTACTGATCACTAGCCTGTGTTGTCTTTTATACTCTTCTTTCTTCAAACTATAAACGTGAACAGAAGAAACGATGATCAAATCTTTGAGGACAGAATCTTTGGGCTCGAAATCGAATTTCGTGAATTCGAGATATGATTTTCATGAATGAAACATGCTTGGAAAATTTATTTCAGTTACCGTCTACGTTTACGTGAATTTTATGGTTTCGTTATTTTGTGTATTTTGCATATGGTTAGAAATGGCAAAAGTTTAATTTTATACCATATTTGCTGAAATATAAACAGAATAAAAAAAAAACAACTAAAAAGATTCCTGTATCGTTGAAGCATTTAATTTTCAGTTGGGAAACAATGTCGGTATCGTGTTTTCCCGTCGTTTTCCCCCTTGCCACATGATATTTAATTACGTTTAAATAAATGTGGAACGAAGACTTAAAATTTCATTTAATTCAACCATTTTTCAATCGACACCAGTTGGAGAGAAATATCATATGTTTTCATATGAATTTTTAGTATGAAACACGCCTACGATGAGTCTATGCAACGAATTTTCCCGAAAAGTGTGAAACACGATAGAAAAATCCTCGTAGAATACTTCTTCGTATTGAAATTATGAACTGAATTATTTTATGTAATCAAATTCAAATTGAAAAGTTGAATGGTATGACAGCAATTACTTTTTCAATATTCTTACGATTTGCGGGTCATTTTCGAAACTGACTAAATAATTGCGTCGCTAATGAGACGCTGCAGTCAGAGTGTTAATTTCTAATCTTAATTTCTAATTTTGACTAGTCTAAAAGATTGATACGAACAAACTGAAATAGCTGAAACGATCTGTGATCAATTGACTGCGGATTTGATGCCATTTACTATAAAACTTAGTGGATCGAATGCAAAATAGCAAAAATATTTAAACAATATTATTAATGATATTCAAAAATTATATTATTAATATTGTTACTGATATATTACCAGTATTACTGACATTATTACTGATATAATTACTGATAACAACAATGATTACTGATACTATTAATAATTATTAAAAAATATTATTACCGTGTCGACTCAATAAAATTATTACGAAAAGAAATAAATGCCTGAATCTTGCAATCAACGCAGACAATCGCTATTTTGCATAAAAATCCGCAGTCCAGTAATCAATAAACGACTCTCTCCAAAAAGAGCGCTTAAATCGGGAAACTGTTCTTCGCAGACCTTGGCCTAGAAACAAAGAAAAAGAAATCAAGAAGTTAGTATAGGCCGATGAAAAAGAAAACGTTATCAAGATACGGAATTGTTATTCGTGGTCGCCTAGGGTGAACGAAATAAAATCCCTTCCGAATAAAAAAAAAAAAATGCCACTTGAAACGCAGACGCAATTTAGGAAAGCCAGCACACCGGAAGGGAGAGCGTTTTTACGTTGCGGCACGGGGGTGTTCGCGCGAGTTTTCACCAGTCAGTGAGTAATCGTTTTTTGAACGTTGTCTCTTCGTTTCAGGCGCCGACAAAAAAGCCAAGTTATCGTCCGGTGCGTTCCGTGTGAAAACAATAATCTCTTCCGTCGGTCGAACACAACATCAAGCCTCCCCCCTCCCTTCTGCCGTCCCTACACCACTGACCACCGAGGCAGACCGTAAAACGAAGCTCCGTGCATTCCGCCGTGGACGTTTTACGGTGCATCCCTCCCCAGGGACAACTTTAATTGTCCATATCTTTCTGTTGTGAAATACTGGCTCGGCCTGGACTCCTCCACAGCCTTTATTTAACGTTCTTGTTGACGCGTTTCAGCGACGTGATTTTTACGCAGCTTTCCTGATAAGGTCGCACTTAACCGTGACAACGGCCACGGGCACCGTTAACACCATCACTTCATGACCGACACAGCCATCCATTTTTATGTTTAATTATCGCTCGATGTTTTAGTGGAGTACGTGAAACAACGCGATCCAAGCATCTCTTTTTCTATTCGATTATTGCCCGAAATTCTAGTGATTTATATTATGTATTAAATACTGCACTATAGAACTTCATTTTATCGAATGATTTTTACTGGTGCATACGTTTCATTGAATTGTTCATGCAAAACTACATCTTCTAGTTATTATTATTATTATTATTATTAATATCATGATTTATTCATAATTTAATTATTTCATTCTTCCATTCCTAAAACCGAAAACTAAATTAAAAAATTAGTGACTCGTCATTTCGGGCTTCGTGAATCTAATGTTAAATAACATCTTCCAAACAGTCAATTGACAATTCATTCCGCGACAATTCAACGAAACGTGGATATAAATTGACTCGCTTGAGAACATTTCCGAGTTGCAAAAGGAAGAAATATGTTCACTTAACGGAAACAATTTTCACCGGTTTTAATTCAGCAAATTCATTTTTCTCGGGAGCGTATATATTGTTAAAATTCGAACTCGGCGAGATAATTCTGTGCTCCGTATCAGCAGTGTTTCAAATTGCATAATTATTTCGAGTCTATAGAATTTGTTTTCACGATGTTTTTTCTGGTAAATATATATACATCCTGTACGCTACAGTTCAATTAATGTATCAATTTCAATTTGAGACTGTGACTTGCGACGTTTTTCTTTAGAGTCGCAAAATTCAAGAAAGTATTACGTCTACCGGGAAGTTCTGTTCGTTTTTGAATTGAAATATAACACAATTTTCATACATTTAATAATATTTATTGTAGAATATACTTTCCATCGTTACTTATGACTTCTTGCCAGCGTGATGGCAACTTGTAAATACCATTTTTGAAAAATGATTTATTTTTAGAGGCGAAGAACTCGACTCTAGTGCTTGGTTGACATCAGCTTTAGTTTTGAATTTTTTTCCTGTAAAAAGTTTTGCAAAGAGAGAAACAAGTGATAATCGGAGGGTGCTAGGTCTGGGGAGTATGGTGGATGCGACAGAATTTCCCAGCCTAGCTCTGCGATTTTCTGACGAGTCGCCAAAACAGCATGTGGTCTGGCATTATCATCGGTAGCCATGCTTTCACGATCGCGTCTCGCTTAATAATGACATGAGACATCTTTGTTTCAGTTTATTTAGGAGAGTACATGCGTGTAAATGCAATGATAAAGAGAGATAGTCATATATGTCTCAAATCGACATGTGCATATGGATTGAAACTTGAAGTGACACTATCGGACAGTATTTTCCGGTAGACCTAATACTTGGTGGGGTGGGTGTAATTTGGAACAGTAAGGAGGACTAATCGAATCGAAGAATGTGTCGATCAGGTCGATCGTATCGAAATTATTAAAGAAAGAACGAAATTTTAATGTGACTTCTGTTTCTTATAATCGGATTGCGGGTCTCTGCGAAAAATAAAAATTGTCTAACTTCATTGTAAGAAACAGAAATGAGATGAAAACGTATCTCTTCTTTTAACTGTTTTAATGAAGCGAAGCGAAGATAGCTGTGTTCATAAAGATTTTTAATGTCTGTACATTTTAGTATTTCTTCCAGTCATTTTTATCATAATTGCATAAAATCCATAATCTATCTATTAATCGGTGGAGAAATTCCAGGATCGAATTCCATTATAAAAATAGCAGACGTTTCTTTCATTTACTCAGAAATATTTACATGTGTGTAAATGCAATGATAAAGAGAGATAGTCATATATGTCTCAAATCAACATGTGCGTATGGATTGAAACTTGAAGTGACACTATCCGGTAGACTTAATAGAAATCTTCGTAAATACCCGGCGGTCGTATAATAAATGATACACGGAACGTTGTTTCGAATAAAAGTTGGCGCTCGTCATACAACAGGTTTTTACAAACGATTCAGTGGCCCCCCTATACAGGGAGAGAGAAAGAGAGAGAGGAGGAGGGGGGAAGAACCGAAAATATATTTTCCGCTCGGTCTTCTGCGGAGGACAAGTTATCGCATTTCCGTGCCTCGTAAAAACCATAATCCGTTCCCTCGGTCATATACGATCCACTCCCCTAGAATCGATGATATACCACCCTCGACTGATTTCACGTACGCGTTGGTACGCCCCTCGAGGCTGCTATTCCACGGAAATGTTTTCGCTTTCGATCTGTTGGGAACGTTAACGGCGCTGTAATATGTAGGGGGAATTGAAACGCGTGTTGCGTTCGAAATTTACCCGGGCCGCCGCGATACAGGGAAACTGGTAATAAAATTATCCTTAGCCCCCCACCCCTAACGCTACCGATATAACCCTACAAATTCCCTCGATCCGCGCGCGCTACGTTCTTCGCAAATAATATTACTGTTCCGCAGCTGCGCTTACCGGAAATAGCTGCGTTGAGAAATTAGTTTTTATCGGAAAACGTCCGAACGGTAGTTTCCAATTCATAATTCCGCAACTCAACATTTGCGAATGCGTCGGAACAAATTGT